TAATTCCACCCCTAAGTTTTCACTATTATCCAAAATAGTTGTGACAAACCGACAATAGAGAAACGAGAGAAAAGCTTAACACCGTGACCACATAGTGTTCCTTAATGGAAATTTCTTTCTTCATTTCTCTTTCTAATAGCTTCAATCACAAGACGAGGCACTAAACATGTCATTAAGCATTCAACATAAGTATACAACTCAGTTCATTTTAAATGTATAAAATACGTTTGAAATTAATGAGTGGTTTTTGTGGAGGTATATGGTATATCAAAAATGAAACTTTAGGATCATCAATTAAAGGCTTAATTAAACTCAAGGTCTGATTAATTATGTACAACTTAAAATGATAAAGTTATGACTATTATTCCCGGATCGTGGACGTAAATCTAATCAAGGCGAGGCCACTCTTAATTATCATGTTTTCCATACTGGTCCTCGTGTCATTTATTTTATAAAGGAAATTTCTTAGCCTTTTTCGTGCATGTCAAGCTATGATTCCTAATAACAATAACTAAAAACCAATGAATTAAGATCCTACAAGAATAGAGGTACGAGAAATCAAGCTATAAATTTATCCAATAGACATATTAATTACAAAATATTAATAGCCCGGTTTTGAACTTTTAATCTTTAAAATAGGAGCCTTGTATAGGCACACGGACGATCTCTAATGACTGATATTCGATTAACAGATTCAGCAAATATCCTGCAAAACCAAATCAAGATAAATATTAAGATGATACTCGTTTTTCTTGAACTTTTTCTTATTTAAATGGGTAGAAATTTGAAACATTAAATATAGAGAAGTAAACATACTTCCATGGAACATCTCTTGCTAATAGCCATTCACCGTCTTTCCCTTGGAAGGTGAGTGTGTAGTTTGTATCTTCTCTATCACAACCTTCGTCGTCTGATTAACCAAAATTATTTTCAATATTGAGAGGTTATGTAACTTAAGTTATGTTTTCAATTATTTATGGGTTTAGGATAGTGTTTATATTTTAAAATACTTAACAATTAGTACTTACATTGGGTAAACATGGTTATCAAGGAGTTAGTGAGAGACTCGTAGGAGTTGAAAAGCTTGATGTCTACTTTTCTTGCTATTGCCACACCATCCATCTTCACCTTAACATACAT